CACCATTTCTAGGTTTGACCACAATAAGCTGCTAGTTATATCATTCAGGGTAAATATTCAAGTGTTGTATGAGGAATGGTCTTTTAATAAATTGATCTTCCTTTAGTTGAAAGTCAACCCTCCACCATAATTTTTTTACTCACATCAAAGGTTGGTGAAGTGAAAAGTGACCTTGAATTAAAAATTGGACCAAATAGGAACAAGCTAGGAACATTTTCCTGAAACATGGACAAACGAGGCAAATGATCCTGGATCAGAGCTTTTAATGATCCCATCATCATGATTACAAGTATGGGAGTCTAAGAAAATTATTTTGTAAACATTAGGTGTGTTCTCCAAGAAAGAACAAATATATGAAAATTAAAGAGAAATTAGAGAAGAAGAATAAATTGTGGAGTGGGAGACACAAGATTTGAGTGTAATCATTTGCAAGGAAAGTTAATCTAATGATAGGAAAAGATATCTATAAGTCAATTGAAGAGATCAAGATTATTGTCAGGATAATCAAATCAACATAAATCAATAAGTTTTGCTTGTTTAGAATTTTAAGAGAAGGTTGCTAACCACTATTGTTCTGTTTTACAATGCAATGAAGACACTATTCACATGCAATATTACTATTTACATAACATCATCTCACACCTCAAATTTAATCAATAAAACAATGCATGAAGACATTTGTTTTCACTTGGAAATAAATGATTTGTTAGATGAGAATGAAAAACATGCAAGTTAGTATTTAACGATGTTTCCTTCATCCAATCTAAGGTTAGGCTAGTAAAAATATAGCTGAATGTGAGATAGTTGAATTTTTCTCACGTCTACTAAGACCTACAAAGGTTCTAGAAGTGTTGGAATCATTAAACTAAGAAGATTAAGACCAATAAACCATGTTCTATGAGAATTTTGCATATGCATATAAAAGAAAACAAAAAATACTAAGAAATGGAAAAATCCAATTGAATGTGGAACGCCACATACTCCATGCAATTGGAAAACTCATACATTTCCCATATAAATAGTCAAACAAGACTGAATTTTATAAGCTACCTAGTTTTGTCTAGTAAAACTAGTGCTTACTAGACATTTATAATTTTTTCACACACAAAAATACATCAAATAAACTATTTTTTTTTTTGCATTTTTATCATTTGTCCATGTTTATTATCTTACATTTTATATGATTCTAGTTTAATATATAGCTCAAACACTTATATATCATGCTTAACAATCTTAAAAATAGTTTCATAGTTGAGACAATGTTTTTTTCCGATATAATTGCTTTTTAATTTTTTAAGTCATTAGCTTTAGGCTTTATTTGAGAATTTAGAAGGAGGGAAAGAGAAAAAATTGATTTTTTTTAAAAATAAAAAAATCTTTAATATTTTTTAAAAAAAGAGATATTATATAAAATGATAAAATAATGCATATCATTAATATGTTTTTAATTTTTAAAATATTATAACAACAAAAATTATATTTGAGCAATTTGATCAAGATCTCTAAAATCCTAATCCAATACAAATTTTGAATTTCTCAAATTAAAAAGGTTTTGATGTTAAGAATAAAAATAAATCCTAAAAACTCTTGCAACTAAAATCCTTCTATTTTTTTTTACCAAATCCTTGTCTTTTTTCAAAATTCCAAACTCTCCAACAAAACCTAAATTAGCCATGTATAAAGTAAGGTTGAAATGAAAATAGGAGACACGCATCGAGAAAAAAGAAAAGAAAATAAGAGATAAGCACGCATGCCAAAATGAATGGTGATGGAGATGTACTCTTGATAACTGATTCAGATTTCCATTTACATTTGAATCAAACTATTATGAGTGTAATCAATCAGTATTTAGGCACATGCATGATTATGATTAATTATTGTTTCATTTTTGCACCCACCACAGGGACCACACCTTTTACAAGATCATTTATAGTCATGTTTCCATCTGCAAAATCACGTGGACTAATATATAGTATTATATTATATTATATAGTAATAAACATTGAAAATGACACGTGAAAAATATATACAAACTTTTTTGTTTACCTTAGCAACAATGGTTATGTTCATAGAATCCGCAAATAACCATCTCTTAGCACTGAAGCCTTGTGCATCTGTAGATTAATTCTCAATATAATGCTCAAGTTTAGTTACATGCTACAAATTCCTTCCATTAATATTCATGAGTTTTTTTTTTTTTTTTGCCTTTAGTAAAATAAATCCTATAATTAAGAGCTAAAATATTAATATTTAACTCACAAAATTGTTTATTAGGATAAAAGAGTATGTTTTCTTCAAGATCTTATATTTCAATTTTAATAGGTGTTAATAATTTATGTGTTGGATTTGTTCGCTTTGACTTTGAATGATCACTTTCTAGTGGACAGTCAGATTTGTCTTCTTAAATTAATCAATTTTAAAAATATTAATAAATTATTATTGAAATTGTTTAAATGTCAAAATGGTTCTTTTTATATATACAAATTTATTTTATAATATTTTAAATTGTTATTTTGTTTTCTAGACAATAAACATAATTTTTAAGAAAATTAATTTTATCATCTAAAAAAGGATAAGAATGCCTGTTTATCTTTTATTTTTTTATTTCTCTATTTTTTAAAATTATTTTTGTTTTAAAAAAATTATACATTGTCGCTTAATTTTACTAATGTGAGAAAGAAAAGTAGTAAATTATTATTTAATAAATATTTAATTTCTCCAACCTAACAACTCAAGATTTTCTCCTGCCAGCTTCACACTTAAATTCGGCACCCCTTATTTTTATATTAACCAAAATATCTTTTTCATTATTTACTCCATTTTAAAACAACATTTGATCAAAAAATTCACTTAAAAAAAGTAGTAAAATTCAAAAAATTAGATGCTATATTTAGATATTCTGATACATTTTATAAATGTTACAGAGCAAATTTTTTTTACTGTCTTTTTCAAATTTTAGAATGAGTTTTTATCGAATTTTTTAAAAATTCTATATAATTTATTGAAAATCCGATAGTTCATATTGGATAGGTGAGTTTATGAGAAAACAAATTTAACACTATCATATTCTTTTTAATAAATTCATATATTTTGTAATTTTTTAGATTTTTGAAAATTTTGATAGTTGATATTCAATAGCAAAATATATATTTTAATATTATTAGATTTTTCAAAAAAACCGATATATATATATATATATATATATATATATATATATATATATATATATATATATATATATATATATATATATATATATATATATATATATATATATATATATATATATATATATATATATATATATATATAATTTTATACCATTTTTTTTTAAAATTCGGTCTAAAATGTATGATTTTACAATGACTTTTTTTAAAAAATCAAATATAAAATCATATATTTTTGAAAAATCCTAAGTTTGAGATACGGGCATCATATCCATCAAAGGCTCAACATCTTGTAATCGGTTAGCCAAGAATGAAGCCACATTAAGAAAAGTGGGGATTTTCATTTTCTAGGAGAAAACAAAGGTGTTGTGTTTACAAACCAATAGGCTAGATGATCGAAGAAGTGTTCCATGCATGTTAAACTTCATGCCAATCATATAGAACGTAATCATCTCATAAATGCTACACCATTTCTAGGTTTGACTATAAGAAGCTTCAAGTTGCATCATTCGGAGTAAATATTCAAGCGTTGTGTGAGGAATGGTCTTTAAATCTATCGATCTTTCTTCAATTGAAAGTCATTCTTCCACCATCGATAGGTGATTATACTGAGCATAACAAAGGCAAGACCTAAGAGCATAGAATTTTGTATCACATCAGAGGTTGAAGGACGGAGTGAAAAGTTACATCGGATTGAAAATTGGACCCCAACATGAATAAGCTAGGAACATTTGGCTGAAACATGGACAAGTGAGACAAATGATTATGAATCAGAGCTTTTAACGATCCCATAGTCACAATTATTTGTATGGAATTCTAAGGAAATTATTTTATAAACATTAGGGTGTTATTCAAAAAAATAATAAGTATCTAAAAAGATTGAATTCAAAAGTTAAAGAGAAATTAGAAATGAAGAATAAATAGTGGAGTGGGAGACACAAAATTTGAGTGTAAATTATTTATAAAGAAAGTTAACCTAATATTTGTACAAAGATATCTATATGGCAAATGAAAAGATCAAGATTAGTGTTTCGATAATCAAATTAACATAAGTTAATAAGTTTTGCTCATTTAAGAATTCTAAGACAAGGTTGCTAACTACTAATTTTCTATTTTACAATTCAATGATGATATTATTCACGCATAATACTTACTATTTACATCACATCATCTCACACCTCAAAGTTAATCAATAAAGCAATGCATAGAGACATTTATTTACACATGAAAATAAATCATATATTTGTTAGTTTAGAATGAAAAACATGCAAGTTAGTATCTACCGTTGTTCCCACATTCGATTCAACGTTAGGCTAGTAAAAATATAGTTGGGTGTGAGACAGTCAAACTTTTCTCATGTCAACTAGACCTACAAAGATTTTAGAAGTTAACCAATTATATATCATTTTTAACGATCTTTAAAATGGTTAAAAACTCATTGAGAGAGCAAATATTTTTTCAGTAAAATTGCTTAATTTTTTATTAAGTCATTAGCTTAAATTTGGACTAATTTTTAATTCAACCCATATATAAAGTAATGGTGAAATTGAAATAGGAGACAAACATCGAGCAAAAAAGAAACAAAATGAAGGGCAAAATGAAACATGCCAAAATAAATGGGTGATGCTTGATAAGTCAAAACAGGTGGGCCAGGACACAGACAAACAGGAGTAGAAAATATCATATATTGATTCAAATTTACCATCAACATTGAATCAAACTATTATGAGTGTAATCAATCAGTGTTTAGACACATGCATATATGATTATGGTTAATTATTGTTGCATTTTGCACCCACCACATGGACCACACCTTTCTTCACATTACGACAATTACGACAAGGATTTGAATGCAGCAACCCGTAGGTTTTTTACAAGATCATTTGTCATGCTGTACCCCGTTTCCATCTGCAAAATCACGTGTACTAGTCATTTATAAACATCGAAAGCGACACGTGAACAAAAGATACAATAATTTTTTGTTTACCTTAGCAACAATGGTTATGTTGATAGAATCCCCAAAAGGTAGGACAGTGCTGTTAACAACACAGAGATCAAGCTTTTGAATCTCCTTCAATAATTTGATCAAAACACCCTTTTGCTTTTGGCAGAGAAACCTTATCAGAACATCTTTGTCCAAAACTCTGGCATCCACATGGGAGAGGGACTCAGACCCATCATCACTCCATGACTCATGAATTACCCACGGTTTGTTTTCCGTCACTACAGACTCAACTCGACTATTCCTGTCCTGTTCTTCTAACACCTTCAAACGTTCTTGGAGCTCTTTCATGTACTTGATAGCATCTCCTAACACCGAAGCCTTGTCCATCTGTAGAAGGATTGATTCACAACATAATACAAAATCTGAAAAGTACCAAACATTTGGAATGAAAGGAATGGTTTAATTTGGTACCTTCTTTAATCCAGGAATAAGAGCAGCTAAAGCAATTAAGCTCTTGTTAAGTTTCTCTCTTCGCTTTCTCTCAGCTATGACATGAACTTTATTATTATTGTTATGTTTTGTGTTTAAGGTACAATCAAAAGCATGAAAATGAGTAGTGGTAGTGTTCTCAAAAGACATAACTTGAGAATTAGTGGTAGAAGAATGAGAAGAAACAGGGGAATAAGAAACAGAGCTTTCACAAGACAAAGGTTTGTCCTGTTGTTGAAGAACACTTGCTATGTCATCTGAAACTAAATCATCATCATTAAACAAATTTTGTTGGAACAAATCACAACCCTCCATTTCCATTTCATCCAACATCTGGAAAAAAAACATTCATAGAAATTCAGAACAATTTGTCACTAGAGTGAAGTATTAAAAAATTTCTTACCAAATCAGATAACCAGCTAGTGGATGATGATGTGTTTAATTTTTCCATAACTTTTGATAATATTATATAGTAACACCTTTTGCTTCACAATTTCAGAGATTGGTATTTCAAATATATATCTTTTGCTTCACAATTTCAGATTTGCTTTAGTTTTCACTTTATAGCTTCCCTAGTTAATTTACTACCATGCCCCTAACCATTAATTGTGCTATTAGAGTTTTATATTAAAAAAGATATTGAACATCACCGTTGTGTATGATATGGTTGGAACAATTAATGACAATAACTAATGCAGAAATTTTTTTGTTAAGAAATGTCAAAAAATTTTAATTGGTAGATGAGACCAACTCAGCCTTTAGTTTTAAATAAGCACTAACCTCGGTTAATCCTATACTCTTTTGTCTCATAATAGATATCTACTTTGAGATTTTTACATTTTTTTAAATAATAATTAATTGTTTGATTTTAATGATAAATTAAATATTTTTTATTAAAATAATTTTATTATAATAAATAGTTGAGTAGTTATGGTAAATTAAAATATAATAAATAAGGATAAATTAAGAAAAATAATAATAAATATAACATTAATATTACGAAGAAACAAATAATTTGAGTCAAATAAAAATAAGAAAAATGACATATATTGTAAGACAGAAATTAATATATCAATATAAGTTTTTAGTGACAAATAAAATATTGTAAGCAAGTATATCACTTATATCTATAATTTTTGATCGCCACTATAAATTAGAAGGATGTCAGTGTCATTTTTATAAACCTCAAATGAAATTGAGGAGAATTTCAATGTCATTTTAATAAATCTCAAAAGAGGTGGTTGTAATTTCCTCAATAAAAAATTTTCATATTTTATTCTTAAAATGTTACTTTTAATTTTTTTTCTTTCTTTCTTTTCTTTCCTTTGTGTTTTTGAATTGTCAACTTTTAAAAAAAAAAATTCAACTTTTTGATACGTTCGAGTATTTTTTTTCTTTTTGACTTAATTAGTGGTGAATTTCTTTAATTTAATTTCAAGTTTCATTTTAGTCACTTATCTAGTAAACATTATGTTCTGAGCCAAGCAGGAAAAGTTCCATAAGAATAAAGCCGATCACTGTGATCCGGCCTAGAATCCGATAAAGTTCTACTCCCACTAGTCTCAAGCAGCGAAGGTAACTAGTTTAATGATCCTAAGAGATCTCAGCTATAAAACACATCCAACGATCATCCGCAAATGGTGCAGAACAAATAACTAGTTCATTATTCTCTTCTCTCTCTCTATATATATATATAATACATGCCAAATTGAGGTAACAATTTTTTAACAAAATTCTATTTCACTCTTCTTCTACATATACTGTCTTGGGTGTTGGAGTGTTAAACTTGTAGGTACCCCCACTCCATCGCGTCGGAGACTATAATCCACTACTGACTGCGCAAAAACTTTCCACTTTAGGTTCCAGAACGGAACAATGGTGCCGTCTATGAGAATCGAATTTTGATTCCTACAAATTTCGCAAGTTCGCATCATTGTTTGACTTTTGCAGTTCCTTACTCTCCTCGATCATTTGAGCAAGCATTCGCAATCAAGCACGAAGATCTATCGTGTTTTGATTCAACTCCACACAACTCCAATCTCATTGCTTAAAATTTTAGAACTTCGATTTTCATCATTGACAAATATGGATGATCCAAGGCTACCAAATCCTCCCCTATAAGGAAAGTTGTCGTTAGTGCCTTAGAAACAAATAAATAGTCACCTCTTCCTCCTCCATGAAATGCCACAAATCCTGGAGCGATAGTTTTTTCACATCTAGATCCAACATGAGCTTCACAAGTGGCCAGATCAGTTTTGGTCCATCCAATGGGGACTCATGTTCCATGTCCAACTACATAACATAAAACCTTACCTGGCTTTCACAGAATACAAACAAATCTTGGTGTACAAGGCACCAACGAGTTACTAAATAGGGTATTTAATATTATTCGACAACAAAACTCGAACGCTATTGAAGAAAAGCTTTGATCCCTTGAGGAGAGCCTCCACAAATCTCATTCAAGCAAGAATACAATTTAAAAATATACTTCGAAAAAGATCTGCTTTGCGACCTCTAAACTAGCTTGGATAAAGAGAAACGAGGCTCCTTGGTCAAAAGATTGATGCATGGGTATAAAACAACAGACTCCCTCTTCAAGTCCCGAATAAGATCGAGGAAGTTATGATATGTCCTCGGTTCGGGCAGAAATTCTCCTAGGTAAAGCACAAATAAAGCATCAGTTGTTGATATAGATCTTAGAAAGCAGAATCCCTAAATATTTAACCAAATGTGTATGACCATGTGATAGCAATTGCAAATGTGCATCAAGAATGAAAGTAAAATGAGCATGTTGTAAACATCATCAAGCAAAGCAATTATCAACATGTAAATAACGGGCAACATGAACAATATACCAAGAATGCAAAACAAATAAGTCAAGGACATGCATCATGAAAACTACGAGTCGTGTGTCAAAGAATCACATTCGTACTATAGAATGAGGTGAAAGAGCTCAAGAACAATCCACCAATATGCATCATATCAATCAGTGAAGTTTAAAAATGGAAAGAAATCAAAACAAGGTTGAAAATGCACAAAAATCATTTTCTGCATCAGTGTTAATCGATTAACCATTTGCAAGGCAAAAGTGGTTAATCGATTAACCCTTTGCAAATGGTTAATCGATTAACCTTGTAACAGAAGCTGAAAATCACCATTTCAAAAGCACTTTTAGCAACAAATCACTTCTCCAAACATCCACATATTATGCCATACAATTGTACACGAAAATTACATCAAATAACATAAATCAAACACCAATTGAACCATCAAACAACAAGATCAACAATTAAATCAACTAATGGACCAATTCACATCAAAAATCAATGGATATACATTGTAAATGTTGTAAATAAGCTAAAATAGGCTTGGATCTATGAATTACCAACCTACAAAGCGGAGAATTGTTTTGGTAAGTGTTGCAACCAGAATTTGACAGATCAAGCACAAAATATCCAAGATCCAATCAATTAGTAGCAAGAAATTTGAATAATAATGCAATGTGATGAACTTGCTTCAAAGTTGCTTCAAGAAATAGCTTCCAAACTTCAGATCTAGATCCAAACTAAATTATACTGCAAAATTTGTGTTGATGAAAGGAAACGATGAAGGTTTAGCTCTAGAATTAACAAATTCCAATGAAGAATTTGAGAATTATAATGGAAGAGCTTTGGTGAAGGTTGAAGATGAAAATGGAGATTGAAAAAGTGAGATATAATTAAGAGAATAGGAACGCGAAGTGTAAAGAAATCAGAAAAATGAGTGAAATTATGTGAGGTTTGGAGCAAATTAGTTTAAATAAGCTCTAGGTTTGGAATAAAATTTAGGTTCAGAGTGTGGGTTAGAATTTTTGTTTGGGATTAGGAATGAAATTATTAAAATTTTTGGAGGGGAGTGAAATTAATTTCGAAAATAATTCAATTTTTGGAGGCATTCTAGATTCTTCTACTGATACAAATATGGATTCAAGTGATCAAAGTGGGATTGCAACTGCTGCAGCGCTGGAATTTGAACTTTTTGGGCAAAATTCACTTAGGTTAATCGATTAACCACTTTTTCCTTGTAAATGGTTAATCGATTAACCCATTCAAAAATTCAAATTTAGCACCAAAAGGGGGGAAACTTGGAGAATTGACCGTTGCCACTTGTTCTGAGCTTAGTTTTTCATCTAAAACTTGTCATTTGATATTGCACCTGAATAATGCCTGAAATAAGTTGTGAATACCCTATTGAACTCGAAATATCCTACTGAAAAAATATGGTCTGGTACCAAATCACCGAGCAAAATAAATGTCGGATCCTCTGATGCCTGCGGCTTAAAATTTTGGAATAAAAGGAAGTCCTGAGTCACATAAATAACTTGATCTCATGCCTCAAGCACCAATGCCGTGGTATAATTAATGATGATGCAAATGAAAGAAGTATAAACTAGTTAGGATTAGAAACAAGAGGATAGATTTTGGGGTACTACAACAGGTATGGTGCTTTTCAAGATAATTTGGTTCTATCTTGCTTATTTGTACACTCATTTAGAACTTATGATCATGTTTGCATCATTTATTTATTTTGAATGAGTTAGCTTATTATAAATATTCTCTGACCCTAAGCTCCATATATGGTTGATGATCCAAGGTTCAAAGTATTGGCCTAACTTTGTTTTTTCATGTGGCAGTTAGTTTGTCATGTGATATAACTCTTATGAATAATGACTAACTTTAGTTGATCATAGTGTATTGTTGATTTGGTATATATGTCTTTCTACATATTAATCATGATATTGTAAGGAGATATTTTGGACCATATTTTTGGTTGCTTTGTTTATGGCTGGGCCTTTGAGTTATTGCTTACAAACTTACATAGTTCTAAAGGCATTATTAATCTCTAAGTAAATCACAACAAATAATTTCTCTAAGACCACTTATTACTTACATCTGTATCTATTTTTCTCATACTATCTTCTCACTTTTATTTTGTTTCCATTCATTGTATGATTGTTTGTATAAAATTCGTTATATTCTTAGTTTGATTGTTATTCAATTATTGTATTGATTGCAATTTGATTATGCGATATTTGAGCCAGATTTTGATATTGTGATATTGGTACTACAATGTAAATATTGTAAAAATGATATTATGTTGTTGTTTGATTTTCATTGCGATAAATCATATTTTTAATTTGCAGATTTGACATCTTTATGATGTTATGCTGCCGAAATTTTGAGACATTGATATTGTATTTTCGCCGCATTATGATCTTTGTGTATGATATTCCACTCATGTTTTCATCACGCGCAAACCAGTTTTGAGCATATTTTTTATTTTATTTCGAATCTATTTCTATTTTCATTTCATTTTAAAATTCAATAAATCATTATCAAGTAAAATCACTTTATTTTTGTTAATAAAATTAATTGATTAATTTTTGTTAATTAATTAGTTTCGTGAATTAAA